CCCGTCCCCGTCCCGTCCCCATCCCGTCCCCGTCCCGTCCTGTCCCCGTCCCCGTCCCGTCCCCGTCCTGTCCCCGTCCCCGTCCCCATCCCGTCCCCGTCCCCATCAGGAGGATCGGAGGCTTGCGTGGGGCTCACGATGAGGCCAACTTTCCTTGTGACCCAGAGATGTGAACACAAGCAAAGGCTGAAATGTCTTGTAGGAAGCCCTATCACTAGGCCAGCCCCCGATGTCATTTCAGACAAATATAGAAGAGTCTCTGGGGGAGGGGAAGGGACCCGGGTACAGCACAGATGTGACTTGCCTTTGTGACCTGCCGCTCACCCAAGAAGTTGGCAGGCACCATTAGAACAGACTGCTAAGGGGCACCTGGGGGGCTCAGCCTGTTAATCATCTGACTTGGGCCCCAGTCATGACCCCGGGGTCCGGGGACCCAGCCCCGCATCGGGCTCCCTGCTCTGTGGGAAGCCTGCTTCTCCCTCTCCCTCTGCCTCTCCCCTCTACTCTCTCTCTTTCTCAAAATGAATGAATAAAATCCTCAAAAAAAAAAAAATAGTCAAAAGCTGAAAACAATCCAAGTGTCCATCAACAGGTGAGGAATAAACAAAATGTAGTTTTATACGACGGAATACTTCTCAGCAATAAAAAGGAATGAACTACTGATAAACACAATGACATGGATGAATCTCAAGGCCTGCTGAGTGAACGAAGTCAGACACAAAAGAATTCATACTGTATGAGTCCATCAATGTGAAACTTCAGAGAAAAAAATCCTATCTACAGTGACAGAACGCAGGTCATGGTTTGCGCGCAGCCCAGGGCAAGGCAGGGACCAACCAGGTAAAGGCCCAAAGGAACTTTGGGATGATGGGATGAAGGAACCATATTTTTTATGGTTATGGGGATGTACATAACCATATTAAGTTTTGATATGGTCAAAACTTAATAAAATACACACTTAAATCGAATGTATGTTATTGTATGTAAATCATACCCCCTAAAGTTTTTTTAAAGCACGTGTGCTCTAGTTTCATTTTTATAGGAAATAAAAGATGTTATAAGTGAAGAAATGTGAGAATATATGTGCATATGTAATTATAAAAGTTTCTAATAAATATACACCAAGGTGATAACTTTGGTTGTCCCCAGGTGAGTGTGACTATCAAAAGGCATTAAATTTTTCTTCTGTTTGCTTTTATTTTCTGATATTCCATAAGTTGACTTTCTCATAAGAAAAGACAAGAAAATTGAACATAAAAGTATAAAATTATCTTAATGGTCAGTTAT